GAGACAACGTAGATCCCCCTGAAGATATTGCTCCTGAGAAAATTACTTTGTTAAAATATGCACCAGTGACATTTTGTGATGCAGAATTATCCTTTTCAGCCTACATATTGTCAGATAAAAGATAACGAAGGTCCCCCCCCCCCAAAAAGGAAAAGATTGCAAATAAAGGTTGCTTCCAGAACTAAGTATTACTTTTATGTGATGTTACATATTTCAGATGTTTTTGTTACATAATTATGTATATATTTTGCATGATGATGCTATATAAAAATCCTAGCTCTAGTTTAAGTGTTCAATAAATCCAATTATCAATCCAAACCCCACATCTAGTCATTAACACGTGACAATGTCATTATTAAGTGACTACTTCTACACTACAGAGACACGACTGATTCCAAATAAATGTTGTTATGGAGTCATGTTACTTTTAACTTCTATGTTTCATCCTTACCTTTTCAATTTTTACCTTTCCAATTTATCTAATCCTTCCAGCAGCATTATGGCCCTGAGAACAACTCAGCCTCTAACAGAAATGAGTATCAGGAATCTTTCTGGGGGTAAAGGGTTGCTGGCGCGTAAGGCTGGCAACCTAACCACCATCTGTGAGCTGAATGTTTAGAAAATGTGGGAGCCTCAACATCTCACAACCCTACAAACCTCCATGGCCTGTTAACGGGATAGCTTTACATTCTTTTTGCCTTTCACCTTTCTACCTCACACTGGTTATTCCCAAATAATATTGAACCACTGTGCAGCATACCACATGTCAAGAATTTAGCAAATGAACACAGTGTAAGCTTATGGAAAAAACTGGATCCATGTTTCAAGAAGGTAAAATTGTGAGAATTCAATCAGTAGAGTTTCTGATGTACTGCCTGAAGATAACTGATAATTCAAAACATGTGGCATTTGTTATTAGTTACATACACATTAAGGTTCTGCTGATGGTCATTAAAAAAATCTTACTACTAACTATGAGAGACAAGAGACTGAAGAATTTAAAAGATATGACTTAAGTTGAATCCCAGGACTATCATTAGGACAATAACAATACTGACTACAACAAATATTTGCAAGAGAAACTCATCCCAACAACCCATCAAGTTTCAGTGTTGTTCTTGACAATATTTCCTATCATACAGTGCAGGAAAACAAAGGCACCCACCAGCACTTCTTGTACAGCCGAAAATTAGAGAGGGCTGAAGTACAATAATATTCAACTTGACTCAGATGATGATAAAGAATTATATTAGTGACATATAACACAAGCAGACTGGGCTAATACTTGTAGCCATATGAAAAACTTCAAGAATATTAGTGCAGAGATGAACCTATGGAGGAAGAACTTGAGAGATTAGTAATTAATATAGGTTTTTCAAGCAGTTATGAACACTGATGCAGGTTATAATGCTGCCAGAAAACAAAAATAGCAAAGGGTGTTAAAAACAAGTGACAGTTCTGCTAATATTGCAGAAGGGACATGACATATGTTTAGCATTTCTAGGATTCAGCAGCTTCATTTATGGTACCACTGGTGATGACCTCAGTACCTGAGGCCAGAATAGAACAGAATAGAATAGAAGCACTGTGTCAGCACCCGGTGCTATGCAGAGGTCTCAAATGAAGCTACACAAGGAGAGCCAAATAAGATCCGGCCTATAACCGTGTCGAGAATGGAAATATTAGAGAGAATCCCTGGAAGGCCTGTCAGGCTCTGAAGCTGGAAGGTAGTAAGGCAGCAGCTGAAATACCTGCAAGGCTGTGAGACATGAAGGCCAAGACAACCAGGAGAGGACAGCCCACCCAAACTGGGTACTGTGGGGCTGAAAACCTGTATACTGGAGGTGTGAAGACGCCAGTCATTTCTGAAGGAACTGCTCCCAGGAATCCAATGAAGAGTGTGACTGAGACTCGAGAAACAGATTGGAATTGGAAAAAAGAGGAGATCGGTGGCATCCTGCATGTGTCACATCACTTCACACTCAATGTGTTAGCCGAGAAGATTGACAACAGCCTGAAAACTGAAGGCTGGATAGAAGCCAGACCATGTCTTGTCACCACTGACACTAGAGCATCTGTAACTACTGCCAGGCCTGACATCACAGCAGGACTAATTGAAAGGAGTTGGCTGTACATTCTGCAAACAGTACCAGGGGAGACACTCCTTATTTTGACAGAGCCACTAGTGGAGCTGATCCTAGGGCAGATTCCCTTATGTACTTGGGCATCTGTTGCAGAAGTCACAGATGAGTTCATCCTGGGGATTATGTCATATATGCCTACAATGCATCTGTGGATCTGGGACACCATGTGGAGAGGAAGTGTCATTATGGAGCCCCCAAGCAGGACAATGATCATCCTGCCTTATGGTGGCCTGGTGGTCAGTGAGCAGATGATACCAGCACAATGCAACGAAGTGTTGAGAGCATGGCTGGAGAGCCCCCTGGGAGTACCAAGTGGATTGGTGGAACCTAGCTTACAGACCTGCCACCCCAAAGGACTTTACATATCCGGAACCCTGGTCCAGGCTTTGAAGGAGGTACCCATCAGAATGTTATCCTTTGAGACCAGGTATTAGCAAGAGGATTCCCCATGGGACACTGTGGACCATTCTCGCTGTGAGAAGCGTACATGCCTACTGCCATTTCTTCTACGATGGGGCATCCTTCCAGTGTCTATGACCACCTTCACATATGGTGCCACAACTCAATATTCATCCGCATACTTGTCCTTCTGCTTTCAACATTGTCCATTCTCCATTCGTTGTAGAACTTGCCTGCTGCTGTTGTCCAGCTGCTCCCTCCTTAGTGCAGTCCATTTCACTTGTCTTAATCCTGCAGGGAGCATTCCTCCATTAGTGCACTTCTGCAGCTGGTGGTCTCCAGCCATCCTAACAGGCACCTCATTTTGGGGTTGAAATGACAGTCTTGCCTTACTTATGCCAACTCAACAGGAGTCTGGAACCTGAAATCACAAGGCCATCTGCCCTATTCAAGGGATCTTCCAGTCACACCATCATGATTCTCTCAAACCAATTCTGTACCAGCTGCTCAGGTAAATTGCTGCTGGCCCTTGCCAGTACAGACATTCTTAGTTCCAAGTCTCACAGGACTCTTGACCATATTTTACTATCTCACAATTCTGGGAGTCATGCAACTCTGTGGAGAGTGTGCTGCTGCCACTTATACAGGGAGACAAACATGGTTGTGCCCTGAGCTGCCACAGTGACAACCTCCATGATCCACTGTGGCTTCAAACTTCCACCCTGTCCTTGTATCTGATCACCAAATAACTTGTGATGGTCCTGAGCAGACAGAATGGCACATACTACTCCTTCTACCTCTTCCTGATCAGCCCTTAACATAGCCATTATCTGTTTCTGGCTGACCTTCATATACTTCATGTTAGCTCATGTCTCCATTACTAGATGTTCCAAACTGCCCATGGGCAGGTCTAGAATCAACTGTGGTGCAGGATCCATTTCTAGTCTGGAATCTATAATCTGCAATAACCCAGTCCCACTTCTGACACTAGCTGTTATGCGTTCATTACTAGATACAAGGCTTGGATTGATAACTGAATTTACTGGACATGTATTACTCTTAACTCTTTGCAATCTACAAATAACCGCAGTTCAGTCCAGGTCCTTCCAGTCTGCTATATCTTCAAGTACTGATTGCTTGCCACCAATAACGAGCATTCTCTCATGTTTCCATGCTTGACGGCTCTGGTCTCATTGGTTGTGTCAGGCTAACTTCTGCTGACCTCCACCACTAGAAGCATTCTTAGTTCTGGGCCCTGCGAGACTCATGACCATATTTTTCTGAGTTGTGACACTTTGACATTTGGCTCTCCTTATGAAGCTTTGTCATGCACACCAACTGCTGTGTGCATATCCACTGTCACATAATCATGTTTTAACAAGCTGTTGCATAGCAACTGAAGCTTTCGTGATGGATCCACCTTTTTTCTATGTCAGACTCCAGGACAATTCCTATTCATGTGTTTCCCCAGATGAAACCACCAAGTGGATGTGCTCAAAAGCAAAGTTATGTATTTTCATTTCTCCATTAGATTTGCCTGTTTCAGCACTTCATTCTATAGTAGCCACATGGTTACCCTGGTCTCTGTAATTTACCTGGCAATCTACATTTCTCCCATGTACACTGTACTGACATTGCAACAAGAATAATAGTAATTTATAAGTCAGAAAGGAAACAGTAATGTGAAAATTGGTACTGGGACAGATAATGATCAGCATTTTACATACTCTATATTTTTGTGTTAACTTCACATTTGTGTTTCAAAAAGATCACAATGTTCTTAATTACACACAACACCATGAAGACACTGGAGGGAGCAGAGGTACAGAACTATGCATTTCTAAAGCCAGTACAGGACAGAGGTAAGTGGTTGGCTTCAAACTCCAGCTATGTTAACCCCATGGAAGAGCTCCCTATTACTCACTGGATAGGAGGGTATGGGGGGGCCCAAATGCTGGACTGGATGCTGTGGAGAACAGAAATCTTTGCCCCTACATGTGATCAAACCCCGATTCTCTGGTCATCCAATCTGTAATCTAGTCACTATAGTGACTGAGCTGTTCTGGCTCCACCTCTGTTATTACTATTTTAAATCTAACATTTAAAAACCATTTTTTGTTGCAATGTTCAGATCATAGTCAACAGTTTTGAAATGTTTGCAAAAATCTGCACATTTACCAGTGACATGACCTGGCAATATATAAAGCAAATCCTACGCAGTCTTAGGATTAAAACCTAAAAAGTAGGTAGTACTTATCACCCAAATACACTTCAATAAGTTACTGTATATATAAAACAAATATACAAATTCAGTGGTAGAAATGCAAAAGTGTTCCTATTTTCACAAGTAAATGAAACAAATAATCCATGTGAAGAGAATATAAAAATATACTCCAGCCTTTAAAATGATAGGACATTCAGGTAAAACACTCAATACAAACAAATGACATCACATTCTAATCTGTCTGATTGTGCAATTTAATTTGGCCAAGGCACAAATTAAAACAACAAACATGATAGGGTATACAATTATAACCAAATGTTAGTCAATGCTGGAGTGTTCTCTTGTAATTTATAGATTATTTACCATACTGAGGAAAGTATAAAGGCTCTTCCAACATTGCAACAGATTGGTTCTTCTTCAGCATCCCATTTGGAAAACCTACCAACAAAACCAATTTGTGCATCACACTTAAATCATGTACAGAGAACAAAATCAAATGAAAGGTAAAGGCAGAGTTATCCTGAGTCTAATTACATTCTTGCCCATAAGCCACTTAACTTCTGTTTCTACTTGATGCCCATGTTCCTTTTGGTTCTTCCATGCACAAGAAACTGACAGCAGTAATTTACAAAAAGCCATAACTGCATACTGTGCCATATACAAATACTTGACTTTATTAATATTCATGATACTCAACAAGAAACAAATAAAGTGTGATTCAGAAACATCCAGAATCAAAGCCAGGACCTCTGGATTATGAATCTGCAAAGTTATACCCTCTGGTACCAGTCCTCAGTAACTAGAAAGGCAACCTTCAGAATGGTGATACTAAAGGGAAAGCTTTCAAAGACAATATTTTAAAAACTAAGACCCATGGACAAAACGGTGAGCTGTATCTCCCTTATTTTCCATCTGTTTTCTATTGATCAATTTTCATTGAAATCCCAGACCAAAGTCAGATGATCTCTCCTTGGTAAGATTTATCTTGATGTTATCCTTCCACCTCTTGTAGCAGTCTTCCAAGTGCCTCTTTTGTAAGATACTTTCTCACCAAAATATACATTTTGTTTCTCTGTGCAAGCACTATATCCAGTCTGTCATAATCCTGATCATACACTGCAAAGTTCCACATTACATAAGTGCCTAAATTGCTAGCCCCAAACATTTTCCTGAGTACCTTCTTTTCAAAAGTTTTTCATTTAAGTTGTATACTTGAATTAAGATAAGAATTTCAGAACCATACAAATCAACTGGAAAAGCACGCACACATCCACACACACTCATATAAGAGTAAATCCTTGTCCAATGTGGATTTGCTTATAAAGTGAAAACAAAATGCAAAAACAGTAATTTGCCAAATGCAGAAAATTTTAATACATGCAGTCTGCCAAACAATCTAGTCCTGCACACACCAATTTCTTCGCAATTATTCGAACAATGAAGTTTGAATAACTCAGCTGATACAGCTGCTAGGCTACAGGCTGGATGACTGAGGAGTCAGGCCATGAGTGTCCTGTGAATGAGTCCAACCACTACACTCAACAAGGATTTATTGCATCCATTTTCATCTTTAGTATTTTGGGAAAAGGGCCACGCCATAGCTCAAGCAGTTAGTCACTGGCTTCCCACCACGGCGGTCCGGGTTCGATCCCAGATCTGGTCAAGTGGGATTTGTGGTGGACAAAGTGGCGCTGGGGCAGGTTTTCTCAGAGTACTTCGGTTTCCCCTGCCAATCTTCATTCCACCAACTGCTTCATAATNCACCCTCATCTATCATCTGGGGCTGGTACAATAGGCCAGAAGTGGACACAGTACAAGGGACTTAGTCCCACTCCACTAGCAATAATAATAATAATAAAAATTTTGGGAAAGTAAACAGGATAATGGAATTTGGAAGAGTACAATAAGAAGCATTTCTAAAATTTATTCTTTGCACAACTTCATCACTGACAAAATCTTTACTTCATAAAAGTTGTGTAACTGGCATTCTGCACAACATACTAATGGAATAAATTATGCTTACATTACTTTGTCCCAGTCCAACCCCTCCATAATGAAGCAATGCTGGCTGCAGCACTGGTGACTAATCCCCCTGCCATACTTGTTGCCTGCTGTGTGCTTGTGAAGTTCTGCTGGGACATTTGGCTTGGTCCAGGAACACTCTCTGGGCACAACATATGAGGAACCTAGTACACAATAAATAGCTGTATTAACCAAAGCTATTAATTAGCATTTTTTTTTATTGCCAATGTCAGTATCAAAATGGCCCAGTTTGTCTTTTGGTTTCATGAAAAGAATCACCACGTACAGCTCAGTGAAACTTCAGGAGTGACTATGGACAAATCTGCCAGATATTAAAAGCATCACAGGTTGGTATGCAAATTTAAAGAGACTGGCAGTCTTGGTGACCATAAAAGAACTGGCAGTCCTAGTGTGAGTGAGGAAACTGCTGACACTGTGCATGATGCTTTCCGATGCAGTCCGCAGAAATCAACTCATCATGCCTCACATGAACTTTGCATACCTCAAAGCATGGTGGTAGAAAATTTTGCACAAATGAATTTGCTTATACACATACGAAATGCAACTTGTTCAAGCCTTGGAGTCAGATGATCATCCCTGACGTGCTGCTTTTGCAACAGAGATGTCACAACAAATTGATGAAGGCAATGATTATCTTATGCATGTTTGTTTTTCTGATGAGGCTACCTTTCACACTTCAGGGAAGGTAAACAGACACAATGTCCACATTTGGGGGTTAGAGACTCCACCATGCAATTCCTTGGTGAACACTGGGATGAAAACATCTCTGGTTAAAATTTGATAACATGATTAAAGTTGAACATCATGTTGCAATGTGGTATGGACATGCAACTCCTTAATGCAGATTGAGATGTAAATGTCTCTTGAGAGAGTATCGACTGATGTATAAGTTTTTGTGAAAAATATGTCTAATATTTAATACAGTGTGGCAAAATTGTACGGATGTCCATGATCATGGACTCCACCATGTTATTTGTTGACTGACACTGAAATGAAAATTACTCTTGACAATATTTTGAGCAGCACATAACTGTCATGCAAAACACAGTTGAAGTTCCACATACTGGGCTTCCATAAAGGAATTAATTCTAATTGCCTGTCATGCAAAACACAGTTGAAGTTCCACATACTGGGCTTCCATAAAGCAATTAATTCTAATAGCCTGTCTTGCAAAAATTATGCATTGGTCAAATTTTATCAAGAGTGAAGATACTGTACATATTTTTTTTCTGAAATTTCTTGTCCAAAAGTAGAGGATACAAATTATGGAATGTATGCAAGTAATGTCAAAATAACAGCTACTGTTGAAATTTAAGAGTGTCTGTTAGTGTTTACTTTGTATCTGAGGGATGAAATCACTCAATCATCAGCTGTTATGGATGATGAACTTGTGACTGAAAGAAATGTATCTCTGTTGTTTAGTAGTAAATGAGACTGACCCTTATGATGCTCTCCTGACAATATAAAAGTGGTTAGGTAATTCTGATGAAGTTTATTTTTATGGACAAACTTTGCCTAAAACAATTTTTATAGATAGGAACCATTGCTGGGCAACGGGAGGTTGAATGAGTTACCATAAAGACAGACCCTTGATAAAGGGTTGGTTGCCAAGTTATGCAACAGTGGAAACGAGGTTACGCAACAGTAAGGAAAGCAGTGTTTCTCCGTGCCATGCCAAGTACAGCCGAAGTGAGCCTAGCCGAGCCGAAGAGCGCTGGTTGCTATGCAGCAATAAACAACTCTCGGCAGTGCTGCCCAGCAACGCCTGGGCGTTTACATAACAGTGAAGCGATGTGGGCTTTCCGCTGTCCAACTGAGGGTTTATAAGGGAGATCAAAATGTATAAGGAGAGAGTTAAAAATGTAGCAGTCACCAAAGGCAGTTGAAATATAGCAGCAGTCGCGGAAAGAAGAATGGAACATGTGTTGTACTGAAGATAGTGTGAAGAGATTTGTGAGTAAAAGTAAAGTAAAGTAAAGTAAAGTAAAGCTATCCCTGTACCAGGCCGTGAAGGCCCACAGGGTTGTGAGACATTGAGGGTCCCACACTACCTAGACAATGAGCTCAAAGATGGCGGTAAGGTTGTCAGCCTTACGTGCCGGCCGCGCTTTACTCCCCAGGAAAATTATTTAATTAATTCCTGGTACTCATTTCCATTAGAGGCTGAGTAAACCCCAGGGCCTAGTGTGGCTGGAAGGATTAGGTCAACTGAAAAAAATCCAATGACCTCATCGGGACTTGAACCCACTGTAAAGTGTGTAAACCCGTAACAGTGTCATAAGTGTAAGATTTGAGGCTTTCACGGCGGTGACTATGAAGAAAGCAGTCTTCTGGGATTTGGCACCGTGTATATGTGGTGTTAACCGACGTTTCGGAGGAACGTATCGCCTCCATCTTCAGGGTAGAAGAAAAAGTATAAGAAATCTGCAAGCGACAAGACTGTCAGAACGGTAAACGTCGGTTAACACCACATATACACGGTGCCAAATCCCAGAAGACTGCTTTCTTCAGTGTCATAAGTATTTGTAGTTACGACTTGTAGGTTGTTAAATAAACCAATTAACAATCTGAACTGCGTCTTCAGAGACAAAACACGTTACATTAGTGTCAGAAGTGTCTATCTTTTCTAGTGTCTTGGTATAAATCTGACTGTCCTTACAGAATTTCAAGTTATTGAGGTTAGATATTTTTGATGTGTTTTTAACAATTTCATGTTGATATTTCAACAAGATTTATACCAGCTAATTCATAAATCCCATTATCCTCTAAGTACAGAGAGAAGCATCAAAGTAGGCATCATACATTCTGCACAGAACTTCAGTATGTTCTAACTGAGATTAAAAATTTCACTCACAGCTTCCCATTCCCAGGGCAAAGTGTCACTTTCATCTTCTGAGCCAGAATTTTCTCCCAGGTCCAAGTCATGTGCTAACTGATCCTCTAAACATTTTGCCAAAACTGGATCCACTTCCATTGGACCTAATCTGCAAAAGGATTATAAAGCACTCACTCTGTCCATTACAAATAAATACATTAAATTCCTGTGTAATGACCCACACTGCCTGTTTTATTAATTTTTATCATCTGGGAATAGGGGATTTAAGTCTTCCACTCCTATGGTACTGGTGACTAGATTTTAACTTAGCAGTAATGGAATTCATACTGCTAAGAATGTGATCCTATGCTGCGAGACCTGCACATGCATTGCAGTAGCAGTGCAGTGCTTGGACAGTACAGGTTAAGGATTGCATAAGCATTACTGCAGCAGAAACTGAAATTCAAAACCACTGATACCAAAGCTCACTTTGGATAGCAGCCTTCAATGAATCTCATAAACCACATTCCAATATCTAAATTAAATCTAGGCTTCATGACCTAAGAGTAAGCCTGGACATAGAACAGCCTTATATAATTTAACCTGTGCTGAAAGTTACAACCTTATGCAGGTTGCTGTGATGTAAAAGTAAAGTAAAGTAAAGCTATCCCTGTACCAGGCCATGGAGGCACAAGAGGGTTGTGAGATATTGAGGGTCCCACATTATCTAGACAGTCGGCTCAAAGATAGTGGTAAGGCTGTCAGTCTTATGCGCCTGCCACGCTTTACTTTCCAGGAAAATTATTTAATTAATTCTTGGTACTCATTTCTGTTAGA